TATTTCTTATTTCTTTCGTTTCAGAGGAAATCTATTCATGCGAAAAAACTTTTGAACGCATCTTTTTAGGCGCTTTATTCGGGCCACATGCACCACACTTTATAGCCGGCTGGCGCAGTGACTTTCGTGATCAGGTTAAACGGATTAGCAACGAATTTTTTACAAGCAGGCACAGCTGGGCCTCAAAACTAATTGCTTTTTATTTTTTCTTGTTTCACATACCATGCAAACGTTTTAAGCTTCCATCTTTTATTCTTGCTATTTTTACCCTCACTCTTAAGTTATCACTTTTTATGCTTTCTTTTACTATTTTTCTTTTATACCTCCTCTGTTTATGACTGTCTGCAGTTTGAGTTTCGGCTTACTTTTTGTCTACTGGAATAAATTATGTTTTATTTATTTTTTTAATTTTTTATTGCCTCTTATTTGCGACACGCTTCCGGCTACTGGAATAATCAGGATGAAAACACGCGAGCCATGGTTTACTTTTTGCATCATGCCACATCACTCAGCATGCAACTGCCTGTGTGGATCGCACGCTTCGAGCAGGAACGTATGATAAAGTAAGTGAAAATGCCTGTTTGCGCCAATTTTAAAAATATAAAATTTCGCTTTGTCTTTGAATTAAGTTGCACCTGATAGCACCTTGAGCGATATACATTTTGTGGTATTTATGGTGCGTACTTAACGACTTCAAAAGCCACCAGTTTTTAAATAAACAAAATCAAATTAATTGTGTCAAATTATTTTATATCTTAGGGCTCACATTGAACAATTCAAGCTTAAGGCAATCCGTCTGCATAATTTTAAATAAAGCGATTTTAAATTTTGCTTTGCTTTGTAGGCGTTGGTGTAATTTCAAGGAAAATCAGTTTAATTAAAGGATCTACCAGGCTCAGGCTTTGACATTGCAGTTGCTATGAGAAAAAACTTGATTGATCTGTGTGTGTGCGTACATTAGGATGGGTCACACTGTTCGGGTGAGAAGAAATGCGAAAGGTGTGTGGCAAGATGGAATCTAAGAATATTACCCAAAGAAACTAGGGGAAAATTTGGACGACAATTGTTTTTGTAGTCACACGATTCGTACAATAGAGCGAACTGCTATTGAAATTTTTGAACAAATTCTTTTTCATGATTGGGATAAAGAAAAATATTGGGCAAATGCCCAATCGTGTGACACTGCCTTAAGAATCTGCTTCCGAACATCTCAAATGGACTCTAAAAGAGACTAAAAACAGACATTTTTCAATGCCTTAACAAATAAGACCCGCCTTTTTAAATTTTAGATGTTCTGTTGTTTAAATTTACAAAATAAAGCATAAATTAAAAAAAAAGTTGTGTTTAAGTGATCGATCAATGACGTTACAAACTTAAAGGTTATCTAAAATTTTGATTGAAAAGATAAAGTAGAAATAGGCGCAACATTAATGAAAAGTTTAATGCTTTAGCATAAACATCATTTCTTAATAAAAGTACTCTGTGTTTTTTTAACCGACTTCCAGAAAAGGAGGAGGTTATCAATTCTTCTGAATATTTTTTTTATATTTTTTTATTTTTAATTTTTTTTATGTATGTTACCGTATAACTTTGGATTACGTGAACCGATTTCAAAAATTCTTTTTGCATCGGAAAGATAGTGTCTCAGAGATGGTCCCATACTAATTTCCATTTAAAAAACTTTATATGAAATTTGAAGTCGGTTTTGTTTTTTGCTTAAAAATTACTTGATTACTCAAATGTGAATTTTTATATCTCTCGGCGGACGCTAGGTTTTAGTTTTAGTCCTATAATTTCTTGGGCACGTTTTCTTAAAATTCTTCGTAGATTACGTTTTTGGTATACGTCTTTTGAGAAAAACAATTGACCCACCCTAGTGTACATACTTGGAAGAGACTCACTCGAGTTAAAGAAATTTGATTGCGTTAATTAATCATCCGCTGAGCAGATGATGAATATGCCAGCGGCATATGGCATTTTAAGCGAGTAGAAGCAGTGAAGAAACACACACACACAAGAAAACAAACTAAAAGACCAAAATAACTGAAAATTTTTTTGCGCACCGTAAATTCTTGTTATGTATTTTTAAAGAATCCCTTATTCAGAATAAACTTTTTGTTTGTTTTTCATATCATTTTGTTAGATAATAATGAGAAGAATATTTACTTATGTATATTAAAGAGCTTATTTGTTACATAAACTGCGGTATTTTCAGTGTGGGTAGGCTGTGAAGATCTCGTGTTTGATAAATTGAAGATTTTTAATTTAAATGAATGTTTTAAAGATGCTGACAAATGTTATGATTAATAAAAAATATTGCCTAGTCATTTAAGTATGTGTGAAAGGCTGAAGAATTGTTGTGAATCTATTGTGTTGCAATTTATAAATGAGTGGAAAGTGTTATGAACGCATTTTACATGCGACTTGAGGGCTGTTGTATTTTTCTGAAATTTCGAAAATATAGACCGGATGTAGTTAGTGCGAGTTATGTTACTCTTATTGCCAGTTTCACGAAAGCGATTTAATGAAAACTGACACGATTTAAAAAATCATGTTTTACTTATGTAAATGACTGGTAAAACCCTCAGTTATGCAAGAATATTTGTATTTATTTTTGGAAGAAAACTTGTTTTCTGCCTGATAAGGAATTTCATGCCTTTTCAGGCAACACTTGGCTACTTTGCAGTTGTCAGTACAATATCAACTAAATAAAATTTTTGAAAGTCCGTAAACTTTTGGGTAATCAGTTTTCATTTCTAGGACTTGACAATTTAAATAAAAACTCATTTCATCTAGATAATTTTTCTGGTAGTTAATATACTGCAATAAGCTGTTCGAAATTTATTCAATTTTAAATCCACTGGCTGCCGAAAGACATGACTAACAAAATACATTTGAAAAGGACGTTCACAGTTGTTAGAATTACCGAATACCAACTAGCAGTTTCCCAAAACTACTGAAATTGGTGTGAATACCCTTAATATTTGAACCATTATCTGACATTTTACGGGCGCACAGCTTTTCAGCTTCCCTTAGAAGGGTAAAGTTTACATGAAACTCCAATTTGCACAGGGCAAACCACGAGAAGGCTATTGCGATTTAATCTTTTATTTGACTTCTTTGGCTTTTGAAGTGCATCTGCTCATCTGCTTTTGAATGGCAGTACAGTACAATTAGAAGATATTCTAATTCAGCATCTAAAGAAAGTACACGCCAGATTGCAACATATAGTTACAGCGGTTAAAATAGAAATAACAATTTAGCTAATTACTAATAGAGAATAATTGCTACAAGTTTTCTTGAGTAGATCTAATATAAAAACCATCAAGTTTAAAGCAAAATTTAGATTTTCTGGCAAGTAGTTTACGCTGAGTTTCCTGGTGCTTAGCTAAATTCAAACAAGATAGAAGCATGTCCTTTGGACGAACTAATTTTTTGATAGAGAGTACCCTTCTCTATTTAAGGTTTCATAAAATGGGTAAGAAAATGAAGTTTTCCATTAAGCTAAATTTTACAAAAAATCAGTAAACAATTACCATTCCGTCCAAAATCGTGGAGAGCCAATATTTATTGGCATAGTGAATTTTTCGCAAATTTTTTATTCTAATTTATTTTCGATAATTTTTTATAAAAAGATATTTCATTTTACACTAAAAAATATAAAAATAAAATCTCTAAACTTTGTGCAACACTTAGGAAAATTCATTAAATTTGCAACTTTTTATTTAGATTTTTTAGAAAAATCCTGAGTATGCAGTTTTATAGCCCATTCAAATTTAGTAAACAAAGTGCAAGTTCGAAGTCGCGAGGAAATCGCGCTGATTTTTTCACGCAAGTTCTTCCATACAAAGTATATTCGACAATTATTTTTTGTATGGAGAAAATGAGCAACACCTTCCGCTAAAAAAATTGCGAAAAAAAATCAACGCGATTTTCTAGAACGTTAAACTTGCATTTTATTATACTAGAATTGAATGGACCAAAAATTGTGTACCTATAATTTTTCTAAAAAATCTGAATCAAAAGTTGCAAGTTAGTGCGTAAATTTTATGAATTTTCCAGAGTTTTTCACAATGTTTAGAGATTTTATTTTTATGTTTTTTAGTGTAAAATGAACTATAGTTTTATAAAAAATTATCGAAAATAAATTAGAATAAAAAACTTTGCATATATTTTGAAAAATTCACTGTGCCAATACTTTTGTTCGTCACTGTATGTATTTGAATCTATTCACTACTAATAATTTACGTTACTCATACGCCCCATCTTACTTTTGCATTTACAGCTTACTACATATTACTCATTTTTTATACGATGGGTGTGAATTTTAGCAGCAAAGGATACCAGTTTGATATATTATATGTTGTTGCCTTCTCCACAAATTGCTTATTCTTTTGTTAAGGCAACTTTATTGGCAAACTGAAATCTGCTTTATTTTTATTTTTACCAAGCCCTACCTACTGTGCATACAAATGTGAAGTTGAATAAATGTTATACTCGTAGTTCATTGAAAATAGCCATTGTATGTTTGAAGTCTTTGTTATGCATTAAGCTTTATTGAATTTTATTTGAATGTAAAAGTTTTGGCGAAAAGCGATTGGAAGCCAAACAGTGGACAATTGGTATGGAATATGGATTTGAGCTCTGTGCCTTTGCTTAAGATTGTGTTGGAATAATTGGTAATGGCTAGAAAAAGGGAATTAAATTTCAGTTAACTGTATGTAAAATATACATACGTTGCTTACTTTTATCGACATATACATATATGGGTAAAGTGTATTTTTTTTGTAATCATATGTTATTCGGTGGCATCATCGGCACATTTTCCTTCGAAAATTCTGCCGACCACACCATTTCGGTCAACGATGAGCCCTACAGAGGCATGATAAATAATTTATTGTGGCCGGATGGCTAACGAATTTTTTATGTATGCTCGATTTCCAAAAATGAATTGTCAAATTAAAGTGCTGTAGATTTGCAATAAGGTTTAAATTTTCGAAAAGCGTTGCCAACCTAAAAAAAAAATTAATTAAATTTATTTAAACAATTGAATCAATTATTACAATATCGGTATCAATCGCAATTATTTTGAAAATGCTTTATATATATTTGTTTATATGTTATATTTGGCCACCTGTTCAAAAAATCCACTTTAATTTAAATTAAGGAAATTTGGTAATTAAAATATGTATCACAATATGGAGGCAAGACGAAAGAGGTTTAAGAAGCTAGTGGTTGAAAATACTCTGAAGAAGGTTGCCACATGTTTCTAAATTCGAATTAAGTTAACTCATATACAAGTTATGTATAATAAATATTATAATAAGGGTGTCAAACGAAGGAGGGTTAAGAAACTTTTTTTTTTTGAATATTTAAAAATATGCTGAGGTGCTTGCAGGGGGTTGCCACATGTTCAAATTATTTAATAAGTTAAATGCATTGCTAAAAGATGGGTTTGCAAATGGTTTATTTCTGTGTTAAAAAAATTCAACTAAATTTTGATCATAAGCTATTTAAAATATGTATCACAACGCCAGACAAAAGCGCCATAAAAAGATTTTAGTTTGAAAATACTTTAAAAAAAGTTACCACCTGTTCCTCCCCTGCGATTTCTGTTTTCGGAGGTTGAGAGAGTGACCAAGGCAGCCCCCAACAGCAGGTGGGAAAATCTGCACCTCTGGCCACGGCTCGACGAACAATGAGTTTATTAAGGTTGTGAAAGTCAAACGTTAAGCTTCTCACAGGAATACTAACGGGACACTGGACCATTGGCCACATGCCCGCCAGGTTCGGAGCACCGCATAACGATTTCTGTAGAAGCTGTAGAGATGAGGAGGAGGTAGAATCCGTCCAGCACTTCCTTTTTGAATGTCCAGCACTCCGAAGAAAACTCCTCAAATTTCGTGGGGTCCATTTCTTCGAGAGCCTGGATACCTTAGGGAAAGCTCCACTGGAGGGACTGCTTGGATTCGCCAGGGAATCGAGATGGTTCAAAGACATGTTGGAATAGGCATGGGGAAACACCCCTGGGCATCGCAATGGACCTTTGTGGCCTCCGAGTGAACTCTTCTCAGAGCCGCCCACTTGACCTAACCTAACCTACCAGCTATTTCAAAATTCAAATATTAAAATCCGAGAGCCTAATGAAATAGGGTCAAGAAAACTTTAGTTTGACAATATTTTGGATTTGACCTATTCGAAATGTCATAGCTATCTATATATACATACATACATATCGAGCCCTAACCGCCAAAATAACGTAAGCGACATTTTTTTCAAAATTTTCTTTTTGATGCAGAAATATTCCTAGAGCATCAAGATGCATTTCTACATCAAAAATAAAATTTTGAAAAATATGTCGCTTACGTTATTTGGGCGGTTAGTGCTCGATATGTTAAATACGCGATGGTATTTTTTGTGATGAATGTCATTAGATCAGCACCATTCCTGCGATTTTCAAAAAATTAGGCGATAAATTAATAAACTTGTTAAGAAGGTAAAATTCCATTTTGGTATTTTAACGCCATGCGGGTTCACTAGTTGTAGCGCTTCAGTACTAAGAAAGCATGTGGCTGTTATATTATAATTGATAACAGTATTGAGCTTCAGGTCAGTTTTTATGATTTTTAACGATATAATACTTTTTTTTAACAATAGCGGTAAAAATTATCAGGGTCTACCTCGGCGCACACAACCAGTGTTCTACTTCTACCCACTGAGCTAATTTCTCCATTTTTTAAACGTAGATTCAGTAAATTTCCGAGGTACATATATTCTGGATCAATGTTTCCTTATTTATACATTGCTAGCATTTTATTATTGGTTTAGCATAAATAATCAATAATCGTTTTCTCTTAATCACGCTCACATTCTTCTTTATATTTCTATAATTTTTTTAGATTCATTGACATTCCAATCGAGTCGTGCGGCCGCTCATCACCATTACGTGTTGCCTTACAGGCGAGTGCGCCTGACCTGCTACTAATTTTATTAAGGTAAGCAAGTGTAACGAAATGTAACGAAATGCAGCGAGGCAAGAAGCAGTTTGGAGTGACAGCGTATAAACTCATGTAATAAAATATTTGAATCGCCCTGTTTTTTTTTTTTGGTTTGGTTTTGATATAATTCGATGGGCTTCGTACTAAACGTGACTGGTTCCCAGAAAAATTCACAAAGTGCAGCGCACGACTGAAAAGTGAAAGTTATGCGGTATTTTTTTTTAAATTTCTTTTTAATTTGAAAATTCATTTTACTCACTTTAACTGCGCTTTGTATTGCATTTTAGCGCAAATTTTATTGATAAGTGCTTCGCATCAATCAGACTATGCTGCAAATTCACTCATTTTTTCCATTTCACTTCACTCAGAGGATCTACAAAAGCGGCATACCGACAGCTGCATTGTCAGAAAATGCATCCTATTTGAGGTGTGTGTGTGTGTGTGTGGGAGTGTATTAGACTGGATCGCGAAAAAAATTTCTAATTACATTTCGTACGGACAAATTATTGGTAAAAATTATTAAACTTATCAGCGGCTATTCGCAATGAATGCGTTTTTTAAAACAAGGCTTGTGTAACTCAGTGAAGTATGTAGGTCATCAAACAAGTAATATTTCCAAGAAATTTTCGAACCCCAAAAGCAGTTTTCCCCTTTGTATGGCGACCGAGCAGGTCTAATGTGTAATTGTTTATTTTCGAATTATCAAAATATTTCACTTCATTGCACAATACTCGCGGAATGGTGTTCAGCCAGAAAACTATGCATTTTTTTGATTCAAAGTATTGAATAAAATGAAAATTGAAGTGAAACCACTGGAGCAGAAACGCACTTCTTCTTACAGAGTTGCAAAAATACATCGAACAATTCGCTGCCTTCATACAAAATACCAGCAACTGCAGGAAAAATATTTCAAAGTTGTGAATCCTCGAAAATTAGAAATGCTCCAAACTGTGCAGTATTATTGTTCTAACTTTTTTACACTTAAAAAAACTTCCATGTGGAAGAAATTTGATCTCCTCGTAGTCTCATGGCCATGTGGTAAAACAACTGCTGCAGCAAGCTTTGTAAAAACGAAACATCGTATTGCAGCGCTACTCTTGCTGTGCGGGTGCACGAAATTGTATAAAAGCATAAGCTGTAATAAGTCAAAAACAAATTAAAATGGCGGATGAGAAAAAAACATAAGAACCAGAAACCGGAGCAAGAAAATTTGGCGCGTGAAAACAGCTGCTCCATACAACATTAATATCGAGAGCACAAGCAGCGAATTCCTTTTAGTGTGAGGGTTATTTGCATTAGAAATTAATCAAATTGAAATAAGCAAAAACCAATGAAAATGCCGCTTTAACAGATAGTTAGTTGCTGGAAAATAACTGGGAATATAGTTTTAATTAAGATCCGCATCTACGTACTTGGTTGGTTGGTTTAAGTGGATTGTCACCCTGATGGCAAGCCATTAGACAGGTTTGCCACTTTAATTCCACAACTCAGTACGTCATACAGAGAGAGGCAGCTGCACACTGAAATATTTGCCGAGTGTCTTTAGCGTCATCCTCGGAGGGCTGAACACTTGCACAGGAAGTCTTCGGCTGTATCTTTTGAGCCTGGTTCATCGCAACTGCGACAGAGCCTGCAGAAAGTTTCTAGGCATCTTCTTTGGTCATTCCTAAGAGAGCTTCCGTTTTACGTGGTTCCTAGAATACCCAGAACTGCCGGATAATCTTATAAGATTCTGTTCGGTTCCACCTCTGCTCGGCCTTCGAGCGATAAAATTCGGTAATCTCCCTGAGCGAGGCGCGCATGTCCACCGCGTGGGACACATACAATGCGGAGCAGCTCCTTGCTAGTTCGTCCGCTGCCTCATTTCCGTTAATGTACCGGGATCCAAATTAAGATAATTTCGTATTGGTCGTATAGGCCAGCTCTCTCCTACATTGATCCAATAGTTGAGATATAACAGAGGTAGTAGAGAGTGCCTGAATGGCCGCTATCCAAGATATTCAGCTGCGTTCTTACGGGTACTTCTCTTTGAAGTACCTTACTGGCTCCTTAATTGCAAACGTTTCGGCCTGGGAAACGCTTGCATTGCTTATATTGATACATAAAAACCCCAACACCTACCCCGCATTCCATCCTTGACCCGTCTATAAAGTCAGTGAAGACCTGCAAGAACCCGGCCTTTATTCCAGTCACTGCGGCTTTGAAATTTAGTGCGGGGTTTGTGGTGAATTCAGCGCTTTAATTTCAGGTTCAGTGGGCCTAGGACGGAAATGTTTCTGATGTACTTGGTATAGCAAATGTTTTGGTACATGGTATGGCTAGCAAAAGTAAAACGAATGAATAAATGTTTTTCAGAAATGTTCTTTTTTCTATTTGCTGTAAAAGCCAATGGGAAAGGAATGTAGAACACCATATTTATTAGAAATGGCTTCCATTTTTTTTGGATGTCGAAGAATGCAAGCCATGGCCTCTAGAATGGTCCACAATTTATAGTCCAATCGATTGAGGTATGGGCCTGATGATGGTCTTATTTTCAGCCGTGAAATATCTGCCAAGCGTATAACCTTCTTTGATCTTGCAACTACAACATTGGTCTTTGTAAGGAAACAGCACAGATGAGCGTATTCTGTTACAGGAGGGCCGTTAATCCTCGCTGCCCCACAGAATGAAAACTCTTCCCGTACATTGGCTAAATGAGTCGTGTGATCTCTTGAATATCGTTCAAATGAAGCCATTGATATACCAACCGTGTTCCTTCTTGGACGGATGTGGTCAAATCTATATAATATATATAAACTCGATAATATCCTCGAATTTTGTCTTTCTAAATTTATCAGTTTAAAAAATTACCTATTCGTCTTTGTGAACCCAAAAAAGAAATTTCCTCATGCATTTGGTACAAATATTTTTATTCTACATTGCACTGAATTTTTAAAATAATTTTTGGAATATGTTCTGTATTCTATATTCCATATTCTATATTTTATATTCTATATTTTATGTTCTATATTCTATACATATATTAAATTATCACTACTATGTAGTGAAAGTAAGGCCGTTCTAAATTCTCCGAAATTTCCTTTCCATAGAATCAAAATAAAATTCTTTTGCCAAGAAATTTAAATAATTTCTCTTTAGTTTCTCTCCTTGCTACATAAACTTCAGATATGTATTGGCAGCCAGCAAATTTAAGTAATTTGTGGTATTGATTTCTGCACGAGCAGATATATGAAATGAAGACAGACATACATATGTATATCGTAAATTTGTTGAATAAGCAAGCGGTGCCACGCCCCATTTATTTGCATTACATACATACATACATATGCAAGCGCTGTCTAATGGCGTTCATTTGGCGCTTAGCAGCGTCGGTTTTGTCCACTAGTCTAGCTGTCTATCGAATTTGGTTACACCGCATGCCGCATTGCTTGGTTTGACGAATAGCTTGCCAGTGCGCCAAAAAGTGTGCTATGTATACTTAGTTATATGTTTGGTCTAGCAGAATGTGCTTGCCAAAAGCGCGGGTGCCAATAGAAATTTTAAGTGCGCCAGATTTTTATTGGACTTGCAAGCAGCCAAATAGTGCGGAGAGAGATAGCGGAGGAATGAGTGAATAACAGAGGCGTATCAAAGAATCTCTGAGATAGTTAAATGTACATACATACATATGTATCAACACAAAAAGCTTATGGAAGCGAGTCAGTTTACACACATAAAGGAAGAAAATATTGGCACAAATTTGATAAGCGGCACAAGTTGAGTGTTGTAGAGTAAATATTTGCTAGGCTGAATCTCAAAAGAAAACTCACAACTTCGTGGACACACATGCATATTGACATATGTGCATAGATATGTATGTATGTAGGTATATATATAGCCCTTGAACTGCTTTCAGCGCATTGAAATGGCATTGATTGCAGACATTTTTTAAAAGAGTGGGGCAGTAAATTAAATGAAAATGATTTCATATTGAAAAAGACCAATGCCATTTTATTATCACTACGGCAATAAAATTTTTAATTTTGTAAAGGAGAAGTATTTTGTCTATGTCATCAAAAGAATTGTACAATCAGCGCTTTTACCAGTTTGAAAAGCTTCAAGGCTTAATCGGGAATTGCTAATAGGTACTTTCAATGCATTTTCGAAGCATGGAAGTGTGAAAAGGAAAATAGCTACACATAATAAAATAAATGCGCCCCATGGCGCAAAAGTTACCTAGAACTCGCTTTTATAACACAAACGAAAAAGGATTAGTTGATGGCGATTAAATTTTTTAAAAATACTCTTCGAAAAACAAAGTGATGTCAAATGCAAATTATCGAACGGGATATAATGTAATAATATCTATATATCTAATAATATATAATCTATTATTATAATAATAATCTTAATATATAAAAGTCCTGTGCCACTCTGTTCGTTTACGCTAATCTCCGAAACCGCTTAACCGATTTCAATGAAATTTCGTAGGTGTGTATTGTTGGTTCCAACTTAAAAGATAGGACAGTTTTCAACCTGAGAAATTTTTTCATTGCTCTTCGCATCATTCCTAGAAATCCCGTGTCGCTATGCTCGCTAAGTGAACTACAAACTGTCCATATCCGAAGCGAGAGTTTTCCGATGTTGCTCGCGGCTTCGCTTCATATGTATGTTTATGTTGGGGAGAAATGGGTAGGATAGCAACAAAGTAATGTATTTATATATATAAACATGCGTATATCAACAGCAACAAAAAATTTACCGTTTAGACACCATCCAATTTTATCCATTCCCGTGGCGGATGTTTGAACCGTAACCAGATCAAATGAAACATAAGAAACAATATGGCTCTTCACGCCGATCTCGGTATTCGGTAGCTCGGTGTCCGGTAATAATTTCGAATATTTTTTGAGGTCATTTTGTCTAAAAAGCTAAATTAAATTTTAGCGTTTTGACGCTATGCTAGTTCACTAGTTACCTTAATTACCCCTTAAAATTATCGAAACAGGTTCACTTTA